AATCTACTTTTGCCTAAAACTGTAATCTGTGAATAGCGCAATGTAATTTATTTACTTGTACATTTTGTTTATATCTTAAATCATCCCAATGAATGAGACTTCAATTCCATTTTAAAGCTAAGGAAACCGATGTAGGATGATTACATAATTTTCCAAGGCTACTCTTTATTTTATTTTATTTTTTTTTCACAATACAATGTCATAAATTTTTTTTAAATTTAATTTTAATTTATTTTTTTCAAATACATTTGTCTCTGCCTCTCCCCCACCACTTTCCCTTGCCCCCTCCCTCCTTCCCTCCCTCAGCTCTTCCCCTTTGGTTTTGTCCCCAAGGCTACTCTTTAATGGTTGAATGAAATAAGGAATGAATGAATCTCTAGGGAAAACATGGATTGAGTCCGGTAAGAAGGTAAGATAGAGAGGTCAATTTTTCAACCCATTTAACAAAATCAGTGTACAGAGAATAAATGAACTGTCCCATGAGATTCATGTTTGGGGTTAAGATGACACTAAAGAACCAATGGTAACAATTTTTAAAGAAAACAATTATGTGCAAGAGATGAAATACCATCATGTTATGGAAGAACAATGGTGAGTGAAACGGATGGTTAAGTGTTCACCAGAAACAATTAGCCCTGTGGTAAACTTCTCTGTCATTGGCACATTTTAAAGAGCTTTTGGAAGCTTCAATGACAAAATATTTGAAAACATAGGAGATAGGCAAACTGGTGCAGAAATATAACTGGCAAAAATGGATTTAGGAAGAATTAAGAAGTACAATTTTTTCAATAACTATTAAAAGAATTAAAACAATTATTTAAGATCTTTCTATTAAAAAAAAAGGAAATCAAAGACTCACCAGAATAGTTTATATGCAAGTGCTACAAATTTTAAGGAATTTTAAGAATTATACAAATGCTTCCAAAAATAGAAAATGAATGCATGTGCTGTAATACAGTTTATGACATAATAATATTGATAAAAAATTAGAGAGGGTATCAAGAAGGAAAATAGTAAGTCATTTGTATTCATGAACTTAAATGGAAAACTTCTAAACAAATTTTCAAAGCAAATCCAATTCCCCCTATACAATATTAATAAACAATGCCCAATTTAAGTATATAAAAGGATTATGAGGACGGTTTAATAATACAGAATATATAGCATTGCTGATTAAATATGATCAACCATAACATCTCAAAGTATGCAGAAAAATTAATATTAGTCATAATAAAAATGACTATAACAAGAGTAGAAGGAAACTTTCTCAACTTACATGTGTCACTCAGAAAAGAAAAATAAAATACTTACCAAAAATATCACCCTAAATGGGAAATTCTGGAGGTATTCAATTTAATTTCATGAACGAGATATGAGGTTCTATATGAATATCCCAATTCAGCAATATAATGGTGCTCCAGCCAGCACAGTACAAGGATAGAAATAAAAACTGTAAGAATTAGAGATCATTAATAGAACCATAGTTATTAGCATATGTCACAGTTTACATAGAAATCCAAATGAATTTATAAACAAAATATAGGCAATAGATAAGAGTAATATATCTATTTAAAAGATCAAGGTATAAAAGTGGAATGTATTTATATATACAAGCAACAAAACCATTAAAATCAATAATTTTAAAAATCCTAACACAAGCTATAAAATAACCATGAATAAATTTAATAAAAATATGTAACACCTGTATATGAGAAAATAAAAACTTTATTGGAAATTAGTAAAGAATATCTAAATAAATTGAACAATCCTATACGCATGGACAAGTGAATTTAACTTTCATTATATAGGTGTTATTTCCCTGAAAATTAATCTATAGGCTTAATGTACCTACACTCAAAATTATTATTCATTTTTCTTTTTATTTTGTGGAACATGATAACTAAAATACATATAGAAAAGCAAAGAAGGAATAATATCTTAAATTCTTCATGATCTATGGTATCGCTATAGTAATTGTAAGATTGTGATACTTGTGCAGAGATGGACAAATTCATGAATAAAATATAATAGACAATCCAAAGAGAAGTGTACTTATTATATATGGAGATTTGACTCATAATGGAACTTGCGTGGTAGAAAGTTCAATTATCCACCAATGAAGAAAGAGATGGGTTAAAAATTTGTGCACAACATCAGAAAAGAAGGAAGAAAGTGAGAAATAGAGGAAAAGGGAAAAAAACAGAGGGCAGGAGGAAAGAGAATCCATACCCAATAATACCACAATAAAAATGTGTAAATACACACACACACAAACACACATATAATGTTGTATATAACATATGCAATGCAATATACATTATATAATTTTATGTGGTGGTACAAGATAGAGATTATGGTTGATTATATATATTTATATATCAGTATATGATAATATACTGTATTTCCTATTTCATACCACCACACAGAATTTCTGTTAAAAGTTCAACTGAAGTTTTTGAAGAGAGTATATGTGAATTTTTTCTGACCTTTGAGTAAACAGCTTTCTTACAAACAGACTAAAGTGCTAGCCACTTATAAGTGTTGATAAATGTGAATATAATAAAACTAAATGTTCATTAAAATGTGTACTAATTAAACATAACAAATCTTTCAACTTTTAGTAAATATTTCCAAAAATGAATTAAAATTAGTAAAGGATTTTTACAAATCAACAAGACAGAAAAGTAGAGAAAAAGAAACAAAAGATATGCACAGGAATTTCACAAAAGAGGAAACGCAGGGAATTAAGAAGTGTGATGTTACAGTAACAGAGTATAGGGTCTGCCAGATCTTAATAGCATTGCTAATGAATACATGCATTGGTACAGCTTCTTTGGGGAGCAAAAGTACTATGTAAGTAATTCTACTATAAAAGTAGCCACTGCCCACAACCACTAGAAAACTTGTCCAATAATGCAGTTATTTTTAAGAACATAAATCTAACCACTCCAAATGTCCATTGACATGGATTAAAAAAGCATGTTCACAACAATTTGAAATACAGATGGGGAGAAATCAAACAATTTGAAATACACACAGAGAGACCTTCATCCTCTACATAAATAGATTTTAGTAACACTGTTTAATGAAAAAAACAATGTAATCAATACGTTTTTTATAGTATACACATGATAACTCGTAATTCAGAGAGAGCATAGAGGTAAATATGTTATCAAAAATGTTCTGTCCTTGGGGTATACAACTGGTGTTTATATTATATATTATATAGGTGTTTATATTATACATAGTATATGTTACACATTATAAGCAAACCAATTGATAATAGACTGGAAGAAAACACTGCCACATATCTAACAAGTTAAATATTCACAGTATATTACATAAGGAAATACACAAAAATGTTATGTTCTAAATATCGTTCTTATTAGACAGCTGGCTTTTAGTTATTTTTTATACATTTCTATTTTATTTATGCACTATTTGTATTACTTTAACAAATTTTTTTTCCTATTGATGCTAATTTAAGTGAAAACATCCCTCATAATATGTAAAGAGTTGATAAGATAATGTGAGAGAACTAAATGGAAAAGAGGCACAACTTTGCAGATGAAGTTCTCAGAAGAGGTTACACATCTATTAAACCTACAGAAAGTATACTCAACCCACTAGAAAAACAGGGGTTTGTGATTTTACAATAATAGCAAAATGCTGCTTTCCACCATTAGTGAAGAAATGTCATAATGTGGTTTATATATAGTGTTTTGGAGCTGCAATAAATGGGCACTTATAGCTAAAATGAGAGCTATCTATGGGGTAATATGATGGTATACTGGAACTTTTCCTGTCTAAATTAGTTTTCAAAACATGCACATTTTCATATAGATGCACTTGAAATATGGTAAATGCAATATTTACTTTTTATAATAGTGAAACAGTAGATTCAGTTTAAAACTAAATGAAGAGAAATTATTTAAGTCATAGAATATACAACCTATGTAATACGTTCTCTTATTATAAACCATGAGGCAACACTGTAGTTTGATGACACAGAAAGATGTCTTAGGACACATTTTTAATAAATAAGTTAACAGAATTTATAGCATAATTCCATTCATTTTAAAAATAAGTGCAGAGGAAAATTTATGTGTACATTCATACACACACACATGCGTACATACACACACACAAACACATGCACGCATATAGGAAAAACCTTGGATAATTGCATATTATATTTCCAGTGCTTATGTCTGGGGTAAAGGAGGTAAAGAGGGTAAAGAGGCATTCCAAACATGTATGTCCTGTTTCAATTCTCTCATTGTAAGAAAACAGGCTTATATGATTATATAACTGCCTGCATCACTTGCCTTTGTGACTCCCCCGAAGTAGGTTGCATTAACATGCACGCTGCATGCAGGAACAGCAAAAGCAGTGGGCATTTAATACAGCTGACCAGAAATTAGGCTTGAGTGTTCCTGGATACCAATCATGGTGGGCCAGGTCAGCAGACAAGGGGACGCTTGCCTCCTATTTGTAGATTGTAAATTAGAAGGAAGCACTGAAATTGTTGGTTACAAAAGGAGCCTATTCAATTTCTCCCAGTAATTAAGAAAGCAGAATACTCTCAAGGACATATTTGTTGACAAAATAATCACACATTTATATAATTATTCAAAAGAGAATTTTTGATTCATAAAAATTATGAAATGAGATATTGTGGCATATGTGACTTTGGATTATGTGAACTGCAGATCACATCTGGGTGAATAACTTAATAAAATTTGTTGTAATTTATAAACTTTTTTTGAGTAGATGAAAGAAAAAATAAAGAATATATGTTATAGAATATACCGCATATAATTAAAATGTTTAAGATATATTAATACTTTCAGACATGTTCTAGATAATATTTTTTAAATAAAATCATTAAGATTTTATAGTTTTCACAAAATAAAAATACTTTTATTAGATGAAATCCAAAGAATATAAAACTAAAAAAGTCCTAATTTTAAAATATCAATCGTGTGCTTATTTTTCAGGTTAAACTTTTTCCGTGATGTTTCTGACTTCCGAGTGTTGGCCTGCGGTGGAGACGGAACCGTGGGGTGGATTTTGGACTGCATAGGTAATGAAGACACATATTTAACGTGGCTGGGGTGAGAGTGGAACCCTTCAATTCCGTATATTCTACTTACTTATTTAATTAATACGTTGATATGCTTGGATGTTACAGTGCTATAACTGGACATTCAGCATGTTTGCGCACTGTTTACTGGTTTAATTTATTTTATATTTAAATTTTTTAATTTAGAGAATAAAGTGTCTAGAATCCTTCTTTTCTCATCTGTTGCTCACAGAATCTACTAACCCCTCAGAGTTATTTGTGAATCAGGCGCCATTTGTTTCTTTGTCTTTAAGAGCGGGCCAAAGGGGATTTTAGTGTTTGCTCTCAGAATCTGGCCCATAGATGTACTTGGCCTAAGCGGGGCACCTCAGAACCTGACCCATGTTATCACTGTCAATCAGTATCATCCTAATTATAGCCAATGTTTATTCATCATGCACTATCTAATGGGCCTTGTGCTAAAATTTGTACCCCAATCATCTTAATTCTCACAACTCTATAATATTGTTTAGGTAATCCCATTTTTGAGATAGGGAATTTAAGGCTTGAAGAAGTTAAAAAGCTGAACAAAGTTTTGCAGCTGTAAACCGACAGAGCTGGGATTAGAACCGCCACTTCAATCTCATTTTATAGTGCATCTCTATTCAAATTTTAAAAGCTTGAATTTTATAAGCAAGGAAAACAGGCACATGACTGCTGAGGATAAAATGTAGACATAAATTACAAGAAAAGCTTGATATAATCAGAAAAATTATGTTTTTTTTATAGACAGCTGTTAGAACTGATTACTGCTCAGTAAAATAGATCATAAATTCACCTTTATGGGGAGATAAATCCAATACAAATATTCGTTTCTTATTTCTCATTTCAGTTACTGCTTAACTAATTATTTTAAAAAAAACAGGCCCTTACACAAAAAGAGAAGTGATTTAAAATAAATTTTACTATCTATATAAATTGAAGCAAACTTTCATATAATCAATGCAGGCGAGAATGTCTTTTCATACATGTTGAAATACTGAAATTAAAAATAGGTACAAGCTGTCAGAATACTTTTGGTAAACATCTAACAACTTTAACCTACTAACATTAAAAAAAGAAATGAAACAGTAAAAATTGTGCTATCTAGCCTCCCAGTAAAGGATGTAATAACATTAATATATCATATTTAAGGAGAAAACCAGAATTCAATAATTATAAAACTTAAAGAGTTGCTTGTATAGTTTCTGAGGACTTGTAAGAATTTTAGAGTGTAAACTTTAGGATATTATTGGTTTGTTTTAACCCCCAAAATGTAAGCCTTGTCTATCAACTGTGGCACATCTCTAAATAATCTATTTCCTCTTTATTTTTTCACACAAACATGAATTGAATTTGAGCAGCTGATAGAAAAAATAAAGTAATATGTGGTTATGAGATTTATTCAAGGATATAATGATCAGACAATGGCAGAGAGCTTTACCCCTCTGAACTCAAAGCACTGTTTTATGTAAAGTTGAATATCAAAGAAAACCTGCTGATGTCAGGGTTTTATATTTGTTTATTTTGACACAAAGGAGTACTATGTGTGGGAAAAACACAAGGACATTGTTTGCACTTTACCAGCTTTTAGAATTCAACTGTTTTAAAAATATTTTCTTCCTTAAAGTAAAATGTATTTAGAGTTGATGTTGCAAAAGGACTTTATATAGGAACCTAACCTTCTACTCTTCTAACCTTCTAAGGCTTACATTTTGGGGGTTAAAACAAACCAATAATATCCTAAAGTTTACACTCTAAAATTCTTACAAGTCCTCAGAAACTATACAAGCAACTCTTTGAGTTTTATAATTATTGAATTTTGGTTTTCTCCTTAAATATGATATATGCCCTTGTATGCATATTCCCATGCTAAGTATACCTATATCCATGAGAATTTTTTTTAAGACTGAAATCTTTCAATTACAGTTGACATTCAGTATTATTTTATATTAGTTTTAGGTGTAAAGCATAGTGTTTAGACATTTAAATAATTTAAAAAGTGATCACCCCAGTAAGTCTAGTACCCACCTTGCACCATACATAGTTACTACAATATTACTAAGTACTCTCCCTATGCTGTACTTTACATCTCTGTGACTATTTTGTAACTACCAGTTTGTACTTCTTAATCCTTTAAACTTTTTCACCCAGCTTCCCAAAGCCCCTCCCCTCTTAACAGCTCTTAGTCTGTTCTCTTTTTCTATGAGTCTGTTTCTGTTTTGTTAGCCTGTTTTGTTCATTAGCTTCCACTTATAAGTGAAATCATATGGTATTTACTTTTCTGGTGACTTATTTCAGTGGAGTTAAATCCAACTTAAACCACAACTTTTAAATAGGCTAGGATAGTTACACAGCTTTCCTCCACAAGACTTGAAAATTCCTATGACTTTGTAAATAATGTTATTTGTTTGTGTTTTACAAATTGCTACAAATGCACTGAGATTAAACATAATTTATAATTGTATATACCTGTAAAATATACCTTTTCTAAGTATCTAGTAGAATGATTTCATTTCATGCCAACCTTTTTTTTCACTCTTGTCTCCGTGATCAAAATTTTGTTTTACTTTTCCATTTCACAGAAAAGGCTAATGTAGTCAAGCATCCTCCAGTTGCCATTCTGCCTCTCGGGACCGGTAACGACCTAGCAAGATGCCTGCGATGGGGAGGAGGTAAAACAGCTTTAACAACAATGAAAATCTTTGTAAAGTATAAATAAAAGAGAGAACATACCCCTTTCCAGAAATCCAGCATTTATTTACAAGTGCCATGTGATTTTTACCAAATATAATTGCTGTCAGATATATAGTATGTTATTTTGAAAAGTAGTTTGGGTTAGAGAAACAAATAGTGGACGAAGAGTTAGACTATGAATGTCAGGCTTTAAAGTGATACTAACTGTAGGGGTCATGGGGGAGGCAGACTTTCAGACCTCCCTGGTATTGGGGATTCTAATGTAAGAGATGAGATAAACATGGATTAACTCTAAAGTAATATTCAGATTTTTAATTTCTGAGTTGTGTGTTACTACAGCAATCTAAAGGAAAAAATGTAAAGGCTAATGAATGACTTGTGCAGGAATGAGCACATGTTTTAAAACCCACTTTACACCAGGCAGTGTGTTCTGCCCTTGGGATACAACGTTAAGAATAGAAAATAAAGGCTCTATTCAGAAAGGTCTTAAATTCTATTGGCAGTAAAGTCATATGTAAATCATGAGACTTCCTTCTACCAAGTAAACAGATAACCAGCGTAGTGAAAGGCCTCATCATTGCCATGACAAGATGACAGTGAGGCCTATAATGGAGCACTCCTACAGAACCATGTAGACCTAGGAGTGACGTTATAGTCAAAGGGAACATCAGGTTCATCGGAGCAGTTGTAGGTAGCCACCTGACATATTCAAGGATATCAAAGTAAAATAAGGTTTATGAAATAGTGTGAATAAGGGAAGAGTATTTCAAGATGAGGTAATAGAACATTTTGAAGTATAATTAATAGCCTATACTTAACTGAAGATACCAAAGTAAAGGAAACCTGATTTTGCTAAAGCAGAAAGAATTGAATCCTAAATATTTTTAGCATCTAAACTCACTTAGAGATGTTTGAAAAGTGTCTACTAAGACAGTGTGAATCAGAAGGCCCTGGGGATCTTGTTAAAAATATAGTGACCTGTCCTCACCTCAAATATGCTGAATAGAAGTCTCTGAGGTTGAGTCCTGGGAACATGATTTTCTTTTAAAACAAACTCTCTATATAGTAACTGATTTACAACAAAATTTGAAAATTGTTCCATGAGCGTCTGGTCAACTGGTGAAATATAAGTTGTGAATATGTATATGTGTAAATGGCAGAGTTGGAGACTAAATTAAAAACTTAGCTCATTATCTATTTGTGATTTCATTACGGATATAATGTAGTAAAATAATATAAAATATTAAGGTAAGTCTCCTTGAACATAAAGATAAATGGATGATACATAGGATGAACCGTTGCTTATGAGGTGACTGTATTTGCCAGTGCTTATATATGTGTATTGACGAAAAGGAAAGAAATCATGCACCTGGCTCCTTGTTGTATTCTTCTGCAAAATATTTTTTGATATTTAAAAACAAATACATTCATTTTTGGTTCCAAACTAGTAAATGGCTTAAGTTTCAAAATTGACATTGAAGGTCCACCTTTATCATGTGTTCATGTTTTTCGTATAAAACTGTTTTAAAGATATCATCAGTGCCAAAGGCTTATGTATTGTAGTGTATGTCAAAGTTTATATTAATGATGAACTCTCCCTGAGTCCCTAGCATGGATTGATACTGCTCTCGGTGCTAGATACAGAGTAAGAAAATAAAGAATTGTCTCCCACCCATTGAGAGGTTATATTTTCATTGAGTACACAGGCAATAAATCAATGAACAATGAAAAATACAGTTACAACGTAAGGTCAAGGCTATGAAAGAAGCAGAGTGTATTTTTAGAGAAAAAACTGTAGGGAAACTTTTTTGCTAGATGTCCAGAAGGCCTCTCTGATGAAGAAATATTTAAGCTGTATTGGAAATAAAAGAAATGAGAAAAAGCTTCTGCATTGAAAGGACCGAATGAAAGCTGATGAGACCCTCAAAGCTTTCATGGAGAGGTTGATAGGTATGGATTGAGGAGGAGGTGATGGATATGAGATTAAGGAGAAAATCAGAAGCCAGATAATGCAGGGGCTTGTTAGTTATGGTAAGAATTTTATTTGATTGAACTGAAGCACAAACCAAAACTGAAACGGTGGCAAAAGCAGTGTGACACAATCACATTTGTTTTCAAAAGTAGATTGATTATGGGATGTAAAATTAACTGTTAAGAAAATGCAGGGAATTATGGTTTTCCAAATGAGAAATGTATAGTTGTCATAATTAAAGAATGTAAGGTTTGGACTAGGGTGGTGGTAATGAAAATGAGACAAGTAGACAAACTAGAATTACATTTTCAGGATGGATTGATAGAGCTTGCCAGTGGGTTAAATAGGGGCTGCAGGGGAAATGAGAGTAGTAAAAATTGTCAAGTTGAGCAATTAGGAAAATGGAAATGTCATTGGCTAGAGTTTATTAATAAAAAAACATGCACTGGAGGGGGATTGTTTCTTGCTGGGGTGTAACTGAGCAAGTTTGTCAGCTGCTATGTGTTTCAGATTTCTCAGCAGAATTTGAAGAAAATATAGTACCTAGCTCAAGGTTCTTACACTGCATTATTAAGTTGTTTGACACGTGTCTGTGCATTATACTTCATGTAATTATTATTATGCTGAACATTTAGAGAAGAAAGGAATATTATTCAACCAATAGTCAGTTGATTCTCTTAAGGTCAATGGAATATTTTGACTTGAAACTTATTTTTTTCAAGAATATATTTTAACATTTTGGGAAATGTAACACTTGTAAAGACATAGGATGTTCTACAGCATTTGAAAAATATGCATTTTACTCTCTCTTTGCAAGTTTTTATGGCAATAATTAGTCCAATGGAAACTTGAATATTTTTGCAGAAAACATTTGTAAATAGGGGGAAAGAGACAGAGTTTTAGATGGATCACACTTATATATACTTGTTTTTGCTTTGCTTTACATGATTTTCATTTCTAAAAGTTTCTGACTTTTGAGATAAATTCAGTCATTATTATATCATATTTTAAGTAGAAAATAAATATTAATTATGGTTTCATTGTATTTCTTAGTCTAGAGTGATTATAAGTTTTAAATAAAGGTAAGGAAAGCAAAATAGCATTATTCTTTTCTGCATAGTTAGTGAGTTTGTGTTTGTTTTTTTTTTTAAATATGCTCTTCTTGAGTTCAGGAATCCTATTTTTAGTTATGGATCATTATTTAACAAGCTCAAGCATAGATAAATACAAAAAAGTAGGGTGTAGATATATGTTAAATTGGGGATTACAGTTTGAAATTTTTCACCCTTGTGAATTAGTTCTGAAATGCAGATCTGATTCTCAAAATAGGTTTATTTACTGCCTATCTCTTCAAATTTTTCTTTGTCTATCAGGCTGAATTCATGCTAGCATTTTTCATATATAGCCATAAAACCTTTGAGAACTAATATAGTTGTAAGGATTTTAAGTTGAGTGACCCTGGTAGAGTCTAGCTTTGGTAATTAATTTTCACTCCATCCATTTCTAATATATTCCCTTCTAGTCAGTTAGTATTCACGCATTTTTCTGGTGTTATGTTGAACCTTGCTATAATTAACCTGAAATGTGACTGAGGACAAATTCAATATTTGTTTTAAAGCATTATTATTTACTCATATTTCTGCTGAATAAATATTCATATATATATTTATATATATATAAAACATATATATATAATATATATGTATATAAATTCATTTCTACCTGAAAACTTGCATACTTTTTTTTTCAAAGAAAGTAGAGTTTAGAAAATAGGTGAATATATTTAACTGGTTATTATTCAATTCAATAGGGAAAATATATATACATAATTTATTTGGAAGGCTATTATTTATTCTGTTTAAAAATAAAAAAAATAAGAGAATAATGGTTGAACTATTAAGAAACACCTGAGACTTCCAGCCAAGATGGAGGCATACCTAGATATGTTTTGCTTCCTCACACAACCAAAAGAAGGACAACAACCAACTTAAAAGCAAAAAACAACCAGAACTCTCAGAAAATCAACCTGTATGGAAGTCCAACAACCAAGGAGTTAAAGAAGACACAGTCATCCAGACTGGTAGGAGGGGCAGAGATGGGAAGCAAAGGCAGAGAGAATGTGTGAATAGGCGGACTGCTCCATACTTCATTTGCATGTGGATAAACTGGGAGGAACAACTGGGGAGTGAGACAGACCACGCAACACAGGGTTTCAGCACTGGAAACAAAAGTCTCAGAACCTCTGGCTGTAAAAATCTATAGGGTTTGTGGTGGTGGAAGAAACTCCCAGTCTCACAGGAGAGTCCTTTGGGGGCACCCACAGGGTCCTAGAATATGCAAAACCCTGCCACCTGGAAATCAACCCAGAGGAGCCCAATTCACTTGTGAGTAATTGTGGAAATGACTGAAAGTGGGGTTGGAGTGGAGCAAATGGCATTGTTCCCACTTGGACCCCTCCCCCACAGTGCCACAACACAGCAAGTGGGATGGTCTGCCCTGGCAAATACCTGAGGCTCCACCCCTTCCAATGTAACAGGTGCACCGAGACAAAAAAATATGGCCCAAATGAAAGAACTGATCAAAACTCCAGAAAAAGAACTAAGTGATGAGGAAATAGCCAGCCTATCAGATGCAGAGTTCAAAACGCTGGTAATCAGCATGCTCACAGAAATGATTGAGTAGAGTTGCAAAATAAAGGAAGAAATGAAGGCTATGCAAAGAGAAATAGAGAAAAATATACAGGGAACCAACAATGAAGGGAGGGAAACTGGGACAAAAATCAATGATTTGGAGCAAAAGGAAAAATAAACATTCAACTGGAACAGAATGAAGAAACAAGAATTCAAAGAAATGAGGAGAGGCTTAAGAACCTTTGAGACAACTTTAAACATTCCAACATCCAAATCATAGGGGTGCCAGAAGGAGAAGAGGAAGAGCAAGAAATTGAAAACTTATTTGAAAAAATAATGAAGGAGAACTTCCCCAATCTGGCAAAGAAAATAGACATGCAAGTCCAGGAAGCTCAGAGAGTCACAAAGGAGTTAGACCCAAGGAAGAATACACCAAGACACCTCATAATTAAAATGACACAGATTAAAGACGAGGAAAGAATCTTAAAAGCAGCAAGAAAAAAGGACACAGTTACCTACAAGAGAGTTTCCATAAGACTATCAGCTGATTTCTTGAAAGAAACCTCACAGACATGGTCTGGAAAGAAGTATTCAAAGTCATAACAAGGAAGGATCTACAACCTAGATTATTCTATCCAGCAAAGCTCTTATTTAGAATGGAAGGACAGATAAAATGCTTCCCAGAGAAGGTCAATTTAAAGGTGTTCATCATCATCAAGGCCTTATTATATGAAATGTTAAAGGGACTAATCTAAGAAAAAGATCAAAATTGTGAACAGTAAAATTAAAACAAACTCACAAATTTCAACAACTGAACCTAAAAAAATAAAAATAAACTAAGCAAACAACTAGAACAGAAACAGAATTTTAAAAATGTAGATCGCATGGAGGATTATCTTCAGGGAGGGGGAGGGGAGAGAATGGGGGAAAAGGTACAGGGAATAAGAAACATAATCGATAGGTACAAAATAGAGAGAGGGAAGTTAAGATTAGTAAGGAAATGGAGGAACCAAAGAACCTATATGTATGACCCTTGGACGTGAACTAAGGGCGGTGGGAATGCTGGAGGGAAGGCAGGACAGGGTGGAGGGACAAAGGGGAGAATAAAATGGGACAACTGTAATAGCATAATCAATAAAATATACTTAAAAAAGGAACATGTGAAATATAAGAAAGTTTAGTTATCATTGTCTTGTGGTTTAAACAGTTCAATTTTTTTTCCATCGAATATAATTATATTCATGTTAATTTATATTTTCATAGTTTTTGAATTATGTTACAAATAACCTAATTTATTCATCATTAGAGAATTTTAGCATATTACATTGCTCATTATGTTTTCTTTTAACACAATTAGTTTTCCCAATGTTATGTGTGCTAGCACATCTAATGAGGACTCATAGCCTCTGGCATTTACTTGTTCACCAAAAAATTATTAAAATGAAAACCAAATTTTGACACAGAATAAAATCTATGAAAATATTATTCTATATCAAAATATCTCAAGAATGCCTATCTGTATGTGTAGAATTACAGAAATATATTATTTAATTTAGTACAATATTTCAAATTCTGATACTATTTTTATCAGTATTCTTATATTATTGAGAACTTTCTATTCTCGTACCTCATACACTAAGACATTTTTTTGTACTCTCTTATTTTTTTTCTCATTTAATTCTTACAACAATCCTAAGTGTTAAAGAGGAGAAAACCATCAAGGGGGTTTAAAAACAAATGATTAAGAAAGTAGCACATCCAGGATTAAGCTACTGTTTAAATATAACATTACCTACCTATAGATACCTTAAGTAGATAGTACAATATTTAAAAAATACTTTTTCAGGCCATGTTGACTCTCTGTAGTAGATTCATTAAAAAATGGATTTACTGGCATTTACTCTAGGGCAGACCTTGTAAAAAGAACTTGTAGTCAGAAAGATGTAAATAACTATATGCTGTGTACTAAGATAAGGCTAGCGTTGAAAACTGTTGTGGTGAGAATGCATAGAATCCATTATTTTGAGAGATTGTCTTCCTGAATATATCAAACATTAAAATTGCAGAGGGAATTAAAGGAAGCTAGCCTTAAAAAAAGAGGATATCGTGGGTATATAGAATAAGAGATGATGTGGCACCTAGTGTAAAAGAGAAAGACTTTTTTTTTTTAAATTGAAAGTAGTTATGTATGACTAGAAGGGAAAGAGTAAAGATAAGGGAGTTTCAGAAAGACACAAGTTTAGAATGCTTCCAGGATTCTTAACTTAGCAACTGGGCGGAGAGTGTTGTCTTTCTCAGAGAGAGTTCACAGGGAAAATATATGAAAGCAGATAGTTAATTTCATTTTGAATACATTGATATTAAGTTTTCTAGGAGTATTCAGTGGAGATGCTCATTTGGCAGTTGGCTATGCTGAAAATTTACACCACGGGAGAGAAATATGAGTTGCAAATTAGAGCTAAAAATAACATACTGGTCTAAGTAAAATAAGATTATAATTGATTCTACTTATATTAGAATTTACTTTAAAAATGCGTTACTTAACTGAGGAATGACATACACTTAAACACATACTTACACACATGTAAATACAGCCTTGATTTTTTTCTCAGATTAATGTTTTTTTTTTTTAATTAGGTTATGAAGGTGAAAATCTGATGAAAATCCTGAAAGACATTGAAAACAGCACAGAAATCATGTTGGACAGGTGGCTGTTTGAAGTGATACCTAATGACAAAGATGAGAAGGGAGACCCAGTGCCTTACAGTATCATCAATAATTACTTTTCTATTGGCGTGGTAAGATTTTTCACTAAATGTTCTTTTTCTACCAGTCCTGGATAGTCACTGTCTGTACACTATGAAGATTTAATAATTATAAATAATTTATTTTATGTTAGTTTCAGCAAAAGACCTCTTTTAATGGGCAATAATAAAGCTTATGAATTTAAGTTAGAGTACAACAATAAAGTTTCATGTGTTAAACAAGGAAAACTATAATTTTGCAATTGGTTTGACCATTTGTGTTACTAAAATGTAAATTAGAATTGTTCATAATTAGGGTTTAGTTATGAGTCTTAGAGAAGAAGCTAAAGTTCTATGTTAGTGAAAATGTGAAAATAGTGCATCAAATTTCACCTTAATTTCAGATATATATTATAGTAGCATCATAACCTACTATAGACATTATATTTAAATTTATGGTTAATTTTGAGTCTAAAAAAGCATTGCTACTATTCTCAAGTGTTTAGTAAATTAAAAGCCTAACTTTCTATTTGAATTCTTAAAAATCTTACATTAGAAGTAAAGTGTCATTTGGCAATTAAAAGAGTTATTTAAATTTTTATCCTTAAGGAATGTAAAAGTAATTCTGTCTATGTATACATGTATATATATATATATATGTGTGTGTGTATATATGTATGTACACATATGTATATATTTATGAAACAATTATGAAATCTAAAATGTATATTCTTTACAATATTACATTCCATTTAACGTGCAACTCAGTACTACCCTTTTGTCACATGCATGCACAGACATACAACACACGCACACCACTAGTAGACTGTAAAAAGATTGGTTGAGTCTATGAGCTTAGAGAGTGAAGCTACCTGGGTCAGAGTTCTTTAGCAAATATTTTTATTCTGAGTGTTCCTCATTTATCTGTATCTTGATAGTTATTATTTTCTTTCTCATAGTTATAAGTAATGTGGTTATACATTTTAAAAACCTCAAATGATGATTAATAAAAGCCAAATATACAACCATTGCTAATATTATATTGACTCTTACTATTTGTAAGAAGAATGTAATTCATCTCAATCCATAAAAGTCTTATTTATATTTGATATCAATATGAAAAATATTTTTGACAGCTTTATTGGAATATAATTTACAACCTGATTCATTCATTTTAAGTAAACCTTTTAACTATTTTTATAAATCTATCCAATTTTAGAGCATTTGTATCATTAAAACAAGAATCTTTGTGCCTATTTATAGTCAATCCTGGTTCCTTTTCCAAGTTGAAGCAATAATTATTCTTTCTTCTTCTAAGATTTGCCTTATATGGATATTTTACAGAGAAAAAATATACGATATATAGTCTTTTGCATTTGGCATCTTTCACTTTATGTTTTTGAGGTTTGCCAATATGAATTGCATGAATACTGTATTCTTTTTTATTGCTGAATATTATCCCATTGTATAGATATATCACATATGGTTTATCCATTTACCAGTTGGTCAACATTTAAAGTGTTTCCAGTCTTTGGATATTATGAATAATGCCACTGTTTTGAGTCCTTTCAGTGAATTTTTTTTAGTTACCACACATTTTTAAGTCCAGCATTTTCCTTTGATTCTTTTTATAATTTCTGTATCTTTAAGATATATTTTTTATTTAAAGAGTTATTATTGTTATGCTTCCCTTTACTCCTTAAACATTATTTACTTTAGTTCTTTCAGTCTGTCTGGTAAATCCAGTATCTGGAGAGCATCATAGAATTTGATAGCATTTGGGTCCCATCAGTGACATGTCACACTTTGCTATTCTTCTGCATGTCTGAAAATTTTTTGGAAACTAGAGATTTTATTTTATATAAAGTATTATACAACTCTGGGATCCTCGTATTGATGTTGTAGTTGTTCCTGTGTTTGTGTAGTGATGTACCTGCACTACTTAAGTAGAGCCTTTCTTCCTTGTGGTGTATGGATACAGAGTCCTCAGTTTTTTTGTGTTTTGTTGTTGTTGTTGTTATATTTTGTTTTGACTTTCATCCTGGTTTCCTAGGGATCAGTCCAGTTTCAGCCTGATTGACCAGAGTTTGTGTGTGAAAAGCTAGAGCCAGTAAGTCTTTATCACTTGGCCACTGGAGCTGTGTGTTCATTGAGAAGCATATACAATCTTCAGGTAGTTATTAACCTGAGTCAGCTTTTAATATCTGCTGGCTCTTCTTTTGTGTCTTCTGTTCATGTGCAAGTCCTCTCATGTATCCAAAGATATGTAAATAACAAGGGCCCTCTCTGATCTTTTCTGAACATTTGTGCAGCTATGCATGCATATGGTCTTTTAGACTGCCAAGGATATGAGGAAATTTATTAAGGCCCAGTATGCCTGTCTCACTATAAGGTCTTCTACTAAATTTCTGCCTAGTTGGCTGGTTAGTGGTTTGCTCTAATTAGTTTTGCAAACATAGATGAGCTCTGACATTAACCTTCTTTGCTCATTTTCTACAGAGTTCATTACTGTTTTAGATCACTCTCTGGGTCATGGATTTTCTTGCCTGCATTCCAAATCAAGTCAGTTTTACTGAGTAATTTGTTTAATTGCCAAATTTCATTGTGGTCTTCAAAAGAGGATAATTTCTCCCTCACCACAAGAGTCATTTGGCAATATATGGACACATGTTTGATTATCATGACCAAGAGGGGGTTACTACTAGCAATTAATGGGTAGAGGATAGGGACCTACTAAATAATCTGTGGTCATAGAACAGGCCCCCAGCACACAAGAAAGAATTACACTGCTCAAAATTTCAATAATCCTGACATCAGTAAAGACAAATATAAAATGGGAAAGTCAACATATTGAAAAGGAGAAACAGCAAAAACCCAAAGAAATGTGAAGGAAAGCTATAATAAGAATAAAACAGGAAATACAGCAAAGAATAGCAACAAAATTGAGAATGTCAGCGAACCCAAAAGCTGGCTTATTGAAAAGAGTTAATAAGATGTTTTACAAAATTAATTTTATAAAAATATTGTACAGAGAATTGCAAATAAATGATAGAGTGAAAAACAAAAAAACCATAAACACTAAAAAATAATATCTCAACTGAAAATATATGAGGACTAAATACAGGAGTGTAGCAAAGTTGAGAAATACAAAATCAACCTAAATATTCAATACCACTCAATTATATTAATAATAATCAATGAATTTATTTAAAAACAACAAAAGTTAAAAGTATATAGGAATTAGTAAACAGTATACAAGACCTTCATGTAGGAAATGTTAAAACTTTCTACAAATACATAAAATATTAGAATAGTTGGAGACATTTTCTAATTTTAGAAGGGATAGCTTACCATAATATGCAAATTAATGTATACACTTTATCTATAACTAAGCAAGCTTTGAGAAAAATTTTATGACAAAAACTTGAAAAGCCTATTCCAAAAATATATGACAAAATAGGTCAGTTGCTTTTAATAAAGGAAAAGGAGAATTGTTTTACCAAATAAGGATACTACCAGTGGAGAAATAGAGAGACACATATGGAAACTCAGTATCGGAGTAACCTGGGAAGCAGAGGTGTTAAGAGAGAGGAGCATATTTCTCTAAAATTGTTGCCTGTGTCTCAGCAACAAAGGCTCAACACTAAATGTCAGAGCAATAGACCTTATAGAAATTTCAAACTTGGTCTCTCACTTAGCACGGCCATATTCAGATGAGCAACTTGTATTCTTTTGCCCCCATAAGTGAGTCCAAAAATCAATGAAATAAAATGAATCATCTGTATCAAAATATTTCTGAATAAGTAGTGGTGTTGGAGCATTAAAAGAACAAAGAGAACATTTCATTTTTTTGCTATCACCAGCATGAGAAACTTAAGATGGCACATAAGTCATACTTGAAATGATCTCTATGAATCACTTACCACCTTCTTACAATGTAGTCTCAAAATTTGAAACTATCAATAGAATTTTTATTTTTAAAATTTTAGTTATTGTCCTTCACATAGTGATGTAAGTGATTTACACTTTATAAAAAAACCTTGGGGGGGTGGGCGGAGACAAATGTATTTGAAAAAATAAATTAAAATAAAATTAAAAAAACAAAACAAAACAAAACCTTGCTTCAAAATTTTAGAAAACCCGTGATGGTCAGAAAAATATAGATAAATATCTTCATATATTGTACATTATGATATGCCTCTTGCATTAATCAGAGTATGTTCAATGTTGGCACAAACAAACCCAAAATATCTGGTCTGACAGCAACTGAAAGTTAGTTCTTCCCTCACATGGCAGGACAGCCTGGGTTATCATTGGGAGGAAACTGTGCTCCATTTGATCAATCAATGATCCTGGCTCCTTCCATCTGTGGCTCCACCCTCCTCTAGATACACAGAATCCCCTCTATTCAACAATCAGGTGACAAAAAGAGAGTGGAATATTAGCGTGGGCTTTTTTATGGGCTGGGCCTGGAAGATGTTCACTTACAGCCCATTGGCCATATCTTAATTGGCTGGGGAAGAAATTCTACCTTTCCAGGAGGAAAAGGAAAATTGGTAAATAACTATCAAGTTTCTAATAATTCCTTCTTTATAATATTTTTTTCAATTTTAGCCAGAACACATTGAAATGATCCTGAGATAAAAAAAAATTAACTCTGAAAATAGATTCTTTTATACAGTGGTGGTCCTTCAATAAACATATATTTACTTAGCACCTACCATGTATAGCACATACTGTTTGAGGTCTGTCAGTGAACAATATAGGAGAAGTCTGTATGATCGCCAAGCCTGCATTATAGTGAGGAGAGAGAATTGTCATTAGTGCCTGAAGAGCAGGACCTTGGAAATTAATCTTAAAAACTACTATGTATTGCCTTTCATTCTCATTTTGAGTTTTGAAAGAACTGTCAATAATCTCAAAAACCCCAGGAAGAAAACTATCTAACCACTGTATTACCATCACATATACCATTAGGTTTTTCCTAATAGTTGATTATTCACTCATTTGCCTAATAAACAAACAAACAAAATAATGGAATACCTTGAAGAGAT